GTGGTTGTGAGTTGGTTCTAAGGTTTAAGAAGGTGTTAATTAATTTCGATATATATGTGGGTTTATGTTGTTAGGGTTATATAGGGTTTAGAACCCCCCCCCCCCCCCCCCCCCCCCCCGTCCCGTGCTTGGGTTGTTGGGTTGGTATTTTAATGTTGAGGTTTTCAGAGTTTAGCTTCAGGGGGTTTGGGGGGGGGGGGGGGGGGGGGGGGGGGGGGGGGCAACCCGAGAACCAGAATCAGGATCATACATATATATATATATATATATGATTATACACACTCTATATAAGACTATAATTAAAAAGTTATCATCATGTAATATACAGTATATATATATATATAGTCGTAGTTGATATATATATATATATATATATATATATATATATATAATGTTATAATCATTATCAAGACATGTTTGATAACAATAATGATAAAACATTCTAAATATACATTATCGTTTATTATATAGATATATAATATATACAAACGATTTCCGAACAGATAGAGAGAGAGAGAGAGAGAGAGAGAGAGAGAGAGAGAGAGAGAGAGAGAGAGAGAGAGAGAGAGAGAGAGAGAGAGAGAGAGAGAGAGAGAGAGAGAGAGAGAGAGAGAGAGAGAGAGAGAGAGAGAGAGAGAGAGAGAGAGAGAGAGAGAGAGAGAGAGACAGAGACAGAGACAGAGACGGAGACAGAGAGACAAAGAGACAAAGAGAGAGAGACAGAGAGGGACGGAGAGGGAGAGAGAGAGAGGTCTAAGCTTTTGGCCGCTGCTAGGTGCCTCGTGCCCAAAGGAGATCTTGAAGTTGGCCCAGAAAGCCACAAAGGCGTCGCCGCAAAGGAGCTTTCTCTTTGAATCTTGGCTCACAAGTGGGGAGTGCTGGGCCACGAGCAAATTGCTTGTGCGCTTGCGCTCCAGCAACAAGAATGCGAAGAAAGGACTGAGGAGATGGATGACGCGAGCAGAGATGATTGCCAAGTGGGGTGAGTCGGTGACGGACAGCATCATCGAAGCGAAGATGAACGATGAAGAAAGGAGTCAGCACGAGATCAGGGACCGCCCGGAATGTCCTGGCAGAGAGGCCACTGCCGCGTCACATGGTCGATGCATGTAATTTCGGTCTATATATTGTGCTGCTGCAGGACATGAAGCAGTACAAGTGCCTTGCTGACGACACGGAGGAGGACGTGGATGAGACGGAGCTGGAGAATGTCTTCGAAGCGTGGGAGTCATCGTCGTCCGACTCTTCAGACACTGACAGCGAGTCGGGGTCGGGGACGAAGAAGAACAAGAAGAAGAAGAAGAGCAAGCCAGCGACAAAGAAGCCGAAAGCAAAGAAGACCCCAAAGAAGAGCAGCCCCAAGAAGGGCTTGGTGGCACCCAAAAAACCCAAAGCCAAAGCAAAGGCGAAGGCAAAGAGCGCTGCCAAGGTGTTGGGGGGGTAGTTGGGTCGGGGGGGGGGGGGGTGTCCTAAAAAGTACATCTTATCAATCAAAATTTTTAAAATTGTGAGACATTCCCAGGACCTCAGCCCTGAGTCAAAGAAGAGGAAAGAGGAAGCGGACCGGGCGCAGGAACTGAAGTCGAAGTCAAACAAGGTGGGGCAGCTGCTGCTGTTGCTCGTAGTAATCATTATAATTATATATCTTCGCAGATATAAAAATGTGTTTATATATATGTATATATATAAATTCGTGTATTTATATTTATTGTATTTATATGTATATATGTATATCTGTATTTAGAATTATACTTATAGTACTTATATACATACACATATCTTCGTAAATATAATTTCCTGCCCACATCTGCAGGCCCTCAACAAAGCAACCGACAAGATCAAGGTGGCCAAAAAGGTCAAGCAGGACACAAGCAGCAATAATGTGTACACGACTCAGCTTCATGATCATGATCATCATGAATCCTCGACTCCATACGTGTACGGTTACATGTGTCCAACCTGAGCACCTAAGGGGAGATCACGTCTTGGAAGCCTGCAAGAATGATATCGAAGCCCAGGCCACGTGAATGTGCCTAAACCCTGAAACACTAAACCCTAAACCCTAACCCTTAAGCCCTAAACCCTAAACCCTAAACACTATAACCTAAACCCAATATTATAATTATAAACCTTATACCCTATACCCTATGACCCTAAACCCTATAATTCTTGTTATATTGTAATAAACCCTAAAACCCTGAACCCTAAATACGATGCAGGCAACGGCGGTGCAGGATGCTCGTGCCCAGCTGCAGGGTGCCATCGACACAGATGATGCCAGTTGCCTCGAATGGTGATGCAAATCCCGCTACAAGAAACCCAAGCAAGCGACGTATACCCTGAACAATACATCCTGTTATTGACCCAAGTCTAGCCGCGACCCTAGCTACAGCTTATAATTAGCTTCACTCCCTAAAACACAATTCACGCCTATTTCTATATATATAAATGAGAAGAAGAATCATAATAAGAATATACCCCTAAACCCTATATACCCTCATAACCCCAGCCCTACAAATAAACGGAATACCCTCTAAACCACTTGAGGTGGATGGAATGGACCAGCTACTGGAGGTGATGAATGCTGCCGTGCAGAAGTTCGACAACATTTACAGAGACTATGTAAAGCGCTCAAAGCCCAGCAGCTCAACCAAGAAGAAGTGATTCTCAGCAGGTTGCTAAGCTAGCTAATCTGGGGCCTGGGGTTCAGCTTATGCAGCTAGAAATAGAAAATCTTCCTGATCAGTCGATGGCATGAGCTGTGGGCTTTATGTGTTTCTAAATTTTGTGCCAGGGAGAGCCTTGGCTGTATCACGATCATGCGAGCTCCTTAGACCCGGGGCTCCATTGGTCGCATCGAACACATTCTGCTGCCCTGAACATGCCAGAGGCCCATACACCCTATAAGTATAAACCCTGATATGATTATAGACCCTAAAAACCCTCAACCCTAATAATTAAACCCTAAAACCCTCAACCTCAAACTTATATCATAAACCCCATGTAAGCTACAGTCGTTTATTAGATGATTACAGCTGGGATTCCCATATTATGTAGTCTTAGGGTATGGGAATAAATATGGGTTTGTATCTTAATGGGGAGGCGCGCGACACGTGTTGGGGTCGGGGTTTTTTTCGCGGGTATGTTTCGGGGCATGTTTCGGGAGTATGTTTCGGGTATCTTTCGCGGCATCATAAGCTACTTTACCTGCAATTTCGGGGGTATGTTTCGGGGGTATGTTTCGAGGTATGTTTCGGGGTATGTTTCGAGGGTGTGCAACCCGTGTGCCATTCTTAAACCTGAGCCCCCCCAAAAAACACAAACCCATATAATGATCTACCAACTTTCTGGAGTCTACGCTTATATATGAAACCTTCTGCTTTAGGCAGGGTTGACGGGTGTTAGGACTCAAGGGTTGTATGGCTAGGACAGCCAGCTTTAAAGTTTTCAATGGTTTTAAATCGACTCTGCCTGGAACCCCCAATTCAGATTTGGTATCTAGGTGGTCTGTCCCCCCCCCCCCCCTAATTCTGAAATCCGCCTGGGCCTGAAAATGTTTAAAATTTGGGGGGGGGGGGGGGGGGGGGTTAAATCCTAAAACCTGAATTCCGAAACCTGATATAACCCTGAAACCCTAAATGGCTCAACTCAAGGGCGAAGGCCCTGAACCCCTATTCTCAAACGGGATTTAGTATTGGGCTGGGTGCCGGCAGGGTCCGGGAAAAATAATATTTAAAATTAGGGGGGGGGTTTAGTATTAGGGGGAAAGGATTAATAAACCATAGCTATAGCTATAGGTAGATTTTGTTGCACCTCGGATCTACTTATAAACTTGCCAGCTAGCTTTGGGCAGTGCCGCCAAGAGCCACGGCTTCTTAAAGGGGCCAGGGAGCAGCGCAGTGCATCCGCCTGCAGTGCAGGGCTGTGGTGAAGGGTGGGTGTGCGCACACACCTTCGTTGCATTCCATTCTTTTGCCAACTGTGATATGGTGTTGAAATCCTTCTATTACCCTAGAGAATTCGTGTGCGGGGCCCAACACAGCCTGTGCTCGCTTGGATTACGTAGGCCTTGTTCCCTGTGGTCAGCCGCTCTATCATGATCAACCGCAGACAAAAACAACGTAGAACCAGCGGTGCCAGCACGAGGGCTCTGCTGCTCTGTGTACATGTGTGTGTATACGTATAGTAGATCGATCGTGCCAGGATGTGCTCATGATGATGATGTGGATGGCGATGCAGCGAATGGCCTGCTTCAGAATATTCTTGAGCGTGTGTCCAGTGGTGAGTCTTATCTGCAAATGAGGCACGTACAGGTCGGTGAAGCCAGAGCAGCAGTGCATGTTGCTCACCTTGGCTGCTCGATCGTATACATCTCAGGCGAAAACAATTGGAGCTGCCATGGAAGATGCCCGGGCCAGCTATGAGGAGGGGATTGGGGCAGCACCGGGTTTCAATTTATAGGGTTTCGGGCTATATTGGCTTTTTCTTCTAGGGTTTAATTTCGGTTATATGCATGAATGGAAGCAGCTTCCAGGTATCTATGTTCGCCTTCTAGAGTATCGCAGGTTCGAGTGATGCCACGTCTGCAGGAGTCTGGACGCTGCTTCCGTGGAAAAGCTATGCGTGCGCTTATGAAATATCGTCCTGGTAATGATGCTCGCAACTTCTTCCGTCAAGTGAAAGTGCCACTCGCAGCCTGGCAGCTCAATTCTCTGGGGGGGGGGGGGGGGAAAAGGGGGTGCCTTGGATGGTTTTTTTTTGCAACATTTCTATACAACCCTAAATTTGTTCGTCGCCCTGAACCTGAAAGCTTGATTTTGGAAACTTAGCTAGCTATAGTTGCAACCCTGTCATGATCAATGTAAGTCTAGACCCGCGTACGTACACCCCCCCCCCCCCTATATAACCCTATATTAACCCCCCCTAAACCCTACATTATAACCATAGACCCATTATATTTATAAACGCCTTGCAAGGAGCCAACGATGGTCGAGGTACCAATGTTGAATGATGCTGGTGAAGAAATCACATGCAGCATCCCTGTCGTTGACGTTCATGAATTATTGGACCACCTCCATGAGGAGATGCAGGTACAGTGCCCTCAGGATGCTGTTAAGTTTTTCTGGCAACATCTGCGGGAGAACGGGAACGAGCATGCGCAAAATTTGGGAACAGATGAGCACATTCCGTTCAGCCTGTATGGGGACGAGGCTTGCCTGACGATGGGGGACCCGAAGGACAAAGTGACTGGGATCTACCTGACTCTGACGTTATTCAGGCCTAAGTGCATGAGAGAGTCGCTATTTTTGCTCTGTGCCATTCAAGACAAGTACATGGTGCACGATCAGCTACGTACGTTGCTGCCAATACTTCGCCACATCACCTGGAGTTCAAACATAGCCTACGATGGCAGATGGCCAACTTGCGATGCCAGTGGCAAGCGCTTCGACTCATCATCTCGGAAGGCCAAGCTTGCAGGCCAGGCAATGGCTGCCCGGTTCGCCTGCAGTGAACTCCGAGGAGATTGGAAATGGTTCGAAAGAACTTTGCGACTACATCATACGCCTACGTCCACAAGGTTCTGTTTTCTCTGCCTGGCCGAAGCCCAGGACAACCCTATGAGATACTATGATCTGGGAGATCAGGCGCCGTGGGTTGGTTCCGAGGTCAACACTGCAACCTTCTTGGTGGATGTCCTTCGAAAGCAAGGGCCTTTGAGACTCTCAGTGCTTGACAAATTTCAAAGCCTGTTCTGTCTGATTTTTTTTTAGAAAATACAAACAAAAAAAGCCCCCCCCCCCCCCGAAAGATCAAGAGTCCAGAGGCCCTTTGGTGTACCTACGTGGCTTCCATCCAAGCATGGTGAAGTTCTGCAGCATGCATGTGGCTAACCTTGGGCTATTGTGTACAGCAAATGGAGGGGCAATGTGGCTTGCTTTTCACCAACTGGCAGTGTCTTAAAAGAACGTATGTAGTTTGGAACCCGACCTGCGTTTGCTCAAGAGTTTCCTGAATGTCTCAGGCAAGCTCTGATCAGCGCTGGCGTATTTGGTGACCCAAGCACAGAGTCACTGAAGGACATCATGGCTAAGGCATTCCTCAACTTCAAATCGTGGAAGCGCAGGGTTCGCATCCCCTGCAGCCAGAAAGCCTTTGCCCCGGGATCTTTGCTCAAGAAGCAGCATGGATACTACCTCACTTGCAAGGCGTACAATGGCAGGGTTGTTCTGATTTGGCTCACCCAGCTTTGTGCTGACGCTTCGAGAGGGGCTCCTGCTGACTCAGTCTTGCCTCTGCATGCTGCTGCATTGCACCCCTGCAAATATGAACTTTTTGCCCTGTTTTTTAAAACCCATAAACTAACCCTAACCCCCAAACCCTTAAACCCTATAATATAAACCCACACCGCCCTAAACCCCACGCCCTAACACCTAAACCCAGAAAATCCTACTTCGAATTGTCAGCCCGGAACCAATCCATACTGGTACCTGGCTAGAAAATCAAAGCGGCTTGAATTCGAAGCAACCCAGGACCGAGCTCTCCCGCTGGTTCGGCCTCTCTGAGCGCGCAGGACGGTACTTGAGCGCCCATTGCAGCAGCATCCATGTTGATCTTTCGAGGCAAATTATACTAAGCTCATGATCATTGATTTTTCGACAACGATCGTGAGATGTGTCCAAGGACACCGTGTCAAGCTGACAAGATTCATGATGCTGGAATGAACTTTTTGCGGCATCACCTGAAGCTTACGCAGGTCACCCACAGGACATACTCGATCATGATCAGCAGTGTGCTACGATATCCTTGCTTTGTGTATATACGCTTTACCTAAGAATTGCCCCTGTGCCAGACTTGGAGTGGTGGCGTGGATTCTTAAACCCAAATTCCACGTGTCTTGCCTGCGAACATCTTCGATTTTCACAGATCTAGATCTGCAGCTTGATCTCTAAACCCATTATCCCCGAACCCCTAAACCCTAAAACATCAGCCCAGCAGCTGAGGCAATGGTTCATCTTCTGCGGCAAAGCCGCAAATGGCGTGGCTGGGCCACTGCAAAGGATATATGGACCCTGCTAAACCCTATATATTACCGACAATTCCTTCTAAACCCTTACTAAGACCTGAGACCCTAAATTTAAATCCTGGTCTCCAGTTCTAATCAGGGGTAAGAAGAATGAATAGGGTTTTTAAAGGGATTGTGATTCCTAGGCTTCTGAGAATCCAGAAGGCAAGCAGGACCAAGTTTCTGTCTCACGGGTTTAGGGTTTAGGGTTTAGGGTTTAGGGCTTCTTTCGCTCTCTCTCTCTCTCTCTCTCTCTCTCTCTCTCTCTCTCTCTCTCTCTCTCTCTCTTTTCCTCTCTTTCCGTATCTCTCCCTCTCTGTCGTTTCTCTCTCTCTAGTGTTCGCTCCCAGCTCTGGAACCCAGGCTACAACACGAGGCACAGTCACAACTTTGCTGGTGAGGATGCAATGGGCTGGTTGAAGCGTCGCCTAGACTGCCTGGTTACATTTTGTAGCTGTATGGAATTCTTCTTTGGGGGAGGGGGGGTGGGGGTCGAAACGAAACAAAAAACGAGGGTGGGCCAGGGGTGGGGGGGGTGGGGGGGCGGGGGGTGATAGGATAATTGGGAGTGTCGGATAGGAAGAGGCGGTATATGTGGTGTGGAAACCTCATGAGCATCAGCCAAGGTGTTTCCTTGAAAGCCCCCAGACGACCGCAAGACTTCTCGAAGTGGGTTCTGCGAATGGGCCGCTTGAAACTTGTATCCGCCAAGAAGAAGCTGACACGGTGACTTGGCCTTGTACAAGTTAAATTGTGATCAATTTGCAAATTGCACCTATATGTACCATTTTCGGGCTCGAATTCTCTAGGACAATCATCGCTGATGCTTGGAAACGTTGAGCTGCTGTCGACACTTGCCTGCGCTATATCAAGTTCGATATGCGTGCAGAGAATGGCTTTGATCAAGATCTCTGCAGCAGCCAAGGAGTTTCTTCACTGAAATGTCCGGATCCGATCCAGCTTGCAGAGCGGAAAAACATCCAAAGTGCGAGTGTAGCCATGAACCCAAAAAATGGACCCCTGACGTAACCGTCGGTTTTACCTGAAGGTTCCCCACCCGTCCTATTTACCCGGTCGGCCGGACTTGCAGGGGTTGAAGGAAAGCTCGGGGCACATTCTTGCCCTCAAGCCCAATCACGAGCACCTTCGGCTCTGCGCGCAAAACAGCGCCGCTAATTGCCTCTAAGTGCCCTTCTGCGGCCAGGTTCCAGGTGATCCCGTAGGCCTGCTTGCCTTGCACAAAAGCTGGAACAACCCTGTACCCGTGCCTCCTAGCCGCGTCGGAAACGACCGCGTCACCCCAAGCAACCTCTAAGACATCGGCAACCCCTCCAAGGAAATACTGCCGGAACCAACTCTCGACAGCACCCGACTCTGGGGAAGCCCTAGGCTGCAACACGCGGGGTTCCGCGACCAAGAGGTCCGCGAGGGCCTCTCGGATCGAGAGCACACCCGTTCTGGCGCGAGACGCTCTCTCGAGCGTCCTGTCCTGCAACGAGTACGCTCCCTTGTCCAACTTCCTGGCCGAGGCTGCAGCAAGCACGCCGTCGCGGTTCAGGTCGACCTTGGAAATGATCTCCCTGACGGTAACCGCTTCGTGGGCCGGACGAGTCCCCTCTGAAAGCGTGAGCGCACCGTCCTCGGCGATGTATGCAAGCTGCCATCTGACGCGCACCCCGCTGGCATCGGGGAGATAGCGGTGCACGCCGACCTGCGCACGGGCAGCATCTACCTGCGTAACCCGTCCTAACCTGCACACCTTAGGGCCTCCACCTACACCCCGATAGGCAATGCGGTCGCCAAGGCGGAGGACGAAGTCCCTCCCGCGCCTGGTCAGCGTGAACTCCACTTGCTTGGCGTCGCCTTGAACCTGTTGCCCTAAGCTGGGGCGAGACGAGCCGTCCCCGCCGGTTCCATCGTCCTCAAAGACGACCGGCTCGCGGGATTCCGCGCCATCTGCATCCGCAGGAACAAGAATGCAGTCTTCCGCGTGCGCCTCCATCGGGCCGCGCCGGGCGGAAGAAGTACCCCCCGACTCCATCGACACGGGCTCCAAGGTGAGCCTGTGGCCCTTGACTTCCAACACGCGCCAGGGGCCGGTCAGACCCGGTTTCCAAGGCACACGCCCCGCCCCCTCTGAACGGGCCCTCGGAGCGTTCCAGACCACTCGGTCTCCTGGCTTAAGGTCCACAGTGCGCCTATGGCGATTTGCAAGTTTCGCCCGCGCTTCTGAAGACCGCGTCCAGTGCTCTCGGACCGCAGCAGCTAGTTCCGAGAACTGCTTAAACTGGCTCCGAGCCCAATCAGAGATGGGTTCGAACTGCAAGGCGTCTCGCAGGACGTCCTTTTCAAGTGGTAGAGCGAGCGACCAGCTCCGCTCTAGGTCCCTCGGGGTATACCCGTGGGGTCCCGGAGTGTTATCTATGACGTACTCCGCCACCACGAGCCAATCCGACCAAGCTTCGGAAAGGGAGGCGCCGACTTGCCTGACGACCGCCCCCAGCACCTTTTGAACTTCTTGGTGGACTCGCTCGTTTGCGCCCAACTCGCAAGGCCTCAAGGGCGCGCTGAACCGCCACTCGGTCCCAAGCATAGCGCTGAGTTCTGCCATGAGCGCATTCTTGAACTCTGGCCCTCTATCCGACCTGATGAGGCTCGGGATCGTCCTGCTGCGAAGCACACAGCGCACGAACGCCCTCCTGACTTCAGCATGAGTCAGAGACCTCATCGGCTCGAGGAGGACAGCATGACTGAGGCAATCGAAGTACGTAAGCGAGTACCTATGCCCCTCCCTGTCCTCTCGGTTCGGACCTTCACAGTCCACGCTGACTTCCTGCCAGCATGTCTCGGCGCCACATTTGACCGCACGAGCTTCAACCTTCGTCGGTCGAGAGCGGCCTTTAATGCAAGCGAGACATTTGGCGACCCAGGTCCGCACATCTTTCTCTAAGTCGGGCCACCAGACTGCCCTCTCTAGCAGCTTGACGGTAACCTCAGCAGACCTATGGGCCCCAAGGACTCCACAGTGGACTGAATTGTAGCAAGCGCGGCGCCAGGTCACCCCATTCGCGCCCGCAGCCCCGTTGGGAACCACTGGGACAACGACGGTTTGACCCGTCCTGAGGGTCACCTCGCGCTCAAGCAACCCGTCTCCGGATATCTCCATTGGCGGCTCTGGCTTGCGAATCGAGCCCGCCAATGAGGGATCGCGCCGCTGACCCTCGTACCACGCCGTACGAAGGGATCCCGTGACTCGGAACTCCGAAATGTTCGCCGCGTCCCTTGCCTCGACCGCAAGCTGCTCACGACGATTTTCGTCCTCCTCCGCGATCAGGCTCAAAGACGGAACACCGCCCTTAAACTCGACCTTGACCTTGGTTGAGGAATGGTCCCAAATGCACAGGATGGGGCTATGGCTAACGAGCTCTAGAACCACTGCAGGGCCCTTGTGCTCTTCACCCATAAACGCCAAAACTCTACCCTTCAGCTTGCACTCATTGGCATTCTTCCCGCGACTGATAGCGCCCGCGGTCCAATGCCCTTCTACGCCCTCGTTGGACGAAGAGAATTGAGCAAGGACCCTTGACGCCTGCAGGGTAGACCTGCGGGGATCCGAAGCTGCTTCTCCGGTTGCCCGCCAGCCAATGACCTGAGTAACCCTACCCACAAGGGCTATCAGCTTGCCGAAGGAGGGGTCTAAGGCAACCTCTTTACCATTAGACCTCCAGAGCACTTCACACTGCTCATTCACGACATGTCTGTGGCCGTGCCAGTTCACCACTGACGACCAATGCACGACGATGTCGCCCTGAACCACATTCAGGGGCGAGCAGTTGTGCCCCGCCACCACAGCACCATCTTCTCTAACCACCCATGTGGTCCAGTAAGGCTTCACATCGCCCCACTTGGAAAGATCCTTGTGCTGGGAGCCGAGGCTGAGCTTCATGGAATGGCTCTTCTTCCATATCTTCCCACTCAGCATGCCATATGCAGTGGGAACTGGAGCATCTTTGGGCGTAGTCCTAAACCCTACCGCCCATTGCTGGATGGTTGAGGACCTAACCCTAACCAAACCTCCTGTCCTATCCAAAGTTGCAAGGACGGAGTTGACCTCTAGGCCCACCTCATGGGCCTCAAGGTCGCCCTCAAGCGGAGGTTCGGGCTCCTCCCGCTCGGCTATCTCTACCGAGATATCGACTGCCTCTTTCTCGATGCAGGCGGGGCAGCGAGAAAACAGGTAGGTCCGCTTGCCGCAGATGCACAGACCCTCATGGTCCCAGAGGGGTCGTGACGGTTCGTCCAGCATCCCTCTAATGCTGGCATCATCAATGGAACGAACCGCGTCCAGCCTCAAGGACCGCAGAACCTCCGCCCCCAATGCCTGCTTCCCTACGATCCCAAAACCTCGCAGGGGAGGCTCCGGAAAATCCTTCTTGAGTTCCGGACAAGCCTCGGCCACTTCCAAGTGGCCTTGCTGCGTGCGCCAAAGGCGTGGCCGCA